TTTTTCTGGGTTGATCGAGTCTAATATTTCGCATGAAGTAGATCGCGGCGAAGCTTCTTTTAAGTAACTTAAAATTACTAGTATACTTGTTACTCGACTCTCTTGCCAGGACTCGAACATTATCTCGTTTTCATGGATTCACGTATCACTTAGCGTACTGTTTTTGCACAGGATACCCTTTGTTCGTCTAATTTTGGACTGACTGTGCAGCATGACGACGAGTACTCAATTACAATAGCATTTTGTTGCGTGACACCGCATCCGAGATTGTTAATTCTCACTCACACGTCCTTGCGCGCGATCATTTCCAATAACTCAAATTCATGCGTAATCGATAAGAATATATACTCTCGCAAGTTCAGATGCCAAATCTCTGCATATAGTCATCTGGTAGAAAAGTCTCCTCGCTAACCCTTTCGTAGACATTTAATGTGCCATCTTTGCACACGAGGCTAATGCGGCCGCGCTGCCCATATTTGATGATAATTTCTTGAATGAGACCGAGTGCACTCCGCAGTCTTTTCAGATTTATCCGCACTTTTACCGATAAAGCTTCGGGGTTAAACCTCCGTTTTCGTACCGCCGAGAAGAATCCGCGGTCATGCAGACCGACGTAGAAGTTGTACGTTTGCGAGAGGAATAGCTGAGGTGCTTTTTCATCCCAGTCCAGCTGACTCTCTCTCGCTTTTGAGATGGTGGCAATCTCAAGGATAGAATCTTGTGGTATTTTTGTGCCAAAGGAAATGACGTGCAATGAAGTACCCTCCACTCGCTTCGCTTCTGCCTTTTCTTTTGAAATATTCAGGGACCCCAGAGAATCGGCTATGTCTCCCACATCAGACTTCGCTGCGTCGCCGCCGGGCACGAAGCCATCCACCGCATACCTAAGAACCATATTCAATCCATTCATTTCCTTTCACCAGTTTAGTACGTCCGCAGGTTACGAAAGTTGGTCCACATACATAACTTATGATTCGGTGGTGACCAGTTGCTTCCGGGTGAGCTTTCTTTGTGCTTTTGTTGAAATAATTGAAGCCATAGGTAAAGCCCACGAATGGCTCGGTCGTTTTATTGTCCCAGCGGCACATCATAACGGTTTTGCGCCCAGCAAGTTGAAGATCGATACGGAAATCTCTCACATCGTCGCCACCGACCCATCGCATGATTTTGCGCACAGCATTCCTGTCAGTGACGTAGTCGACGGTGGACCATTTAAACATATCTGCGTCCTCATTCGCGTCGACGGCGACCATAAGAGGAAGCAGGGGTGCTTCTGCCATGCGATGTGTATTCTGATCGACAATGCAGATGCCAGTGTCGCGGTCAACTTGAAACGGCGTTCTGTCACACCATCGGCTAGGCACACCTTTTGGGCGTCATGTCATGGAATTAGGAACGGCTGAGGTACCGTACCTGGTACGATGATGGTTGGGATAGATCTGGCCGTCCACTCATAGGAACCAAGGTATTTCGTGTCAGAGATCACGACATTCGGATCGTGCTGCGCAGAACGGGGAACGGGGATAGCTTCCAAGGGAGTTGGCTTTAGCCCTCGGAGAATGTCTGTAACATCTGGACGGATGTCGTTGCTATGCCTTTTAGGAGCGTGTTTGCGCCAGGTACTGTAACTCGGATGAGATGGCATACCTATCGATGGGCGCGCGTTCATACTACCACACCATTTTATACCGCTTCGGCGCTCATCTACACGTGTAGAATAGAAGCTTCAATTCGCCGTCGTCCCGAGGACTAACTTGCTATTCAAACGAGTTAAAATGGAATTGCGCGTAATATCACGAGAAAATCTTATTGTACAGTTGACACAACTTCCGGAGAACAGCGAGAACACAAGAACACGAGTATCATACAGGTTTAGATTCCAAATCGCTCCATAATCTCGTCCGGCAAACAACTTTCCTCACTGACTCTTTCGTAAACGTTCAACACACCATCGACGCAAACGAGACTGAGACGTCCACGTTGGCCATGCTTAAGGACGAGATTCTGGATTGTCACCAGTACCCGTCGAAGCTTCTTCATGTTTGCCAACACTTGCTCTGGGAGGGTGGTGTAGTCAAATTCGTGTTTTCGTACTTCGGAGAAGTGCCCACGATCGTGTAGACCGACGTAAAAGTGAGGAATTTGAGAGAGATACAGTTGCGGTCCTTTCTCCTGCCAGTCCAACTGGCTCTCTCGGGCTTTCGAAATGGTTGCAACTTCAATAATAGATTCTTGAGGTACCTGCTTTCCGAAGCGAATATATTTCAATGGCGAATTGGCCACTTGCTTCGCCGATTCTGTTTTTGGCTGCGAAACGCCTAGAGAAGAGAGTGCGCTGATCACGTCGTCAATATCAGGCTTGGAGCTCTTCGCAGGGATAAATGCATCCACGGTAGATCTAACTACCATGTTCAAGCCTTTCCAGTTCTTGTGTACATCAGCCGCTGATGTGTCAGAAATAGAAACAAGGACTTACATAACTAATGATACGATGGTGGGACGTACTTTCTTCGTGGGGCTTCTTCGCAGTCCCATTAAAATAGTTTTGTCCATAAGTATAGCCCAGAAATGGGGAGGTCGTTTCTTTCTCCCAGCGAACCATTAACACGGCCTTTTTCCCCGCGAGCTGAAGATCAATCCGAAAATTCTTCTCATTGCCGCCTGAGATCCAACGAAGAAGCCTGCGGAGGCCATTTCTGTCTGTAACGATATCAATTGCAGACCAATCAAATGTATCTGCATCTTCGTTGGCATCGACTGCGGCGAACAGAGGTAATAACGGCATTTCTTTCATGTGATAGGAGTTATGATCTTGAATGTTAATGCCGGTATCGGGCGGGACACGGAAAGGCTTTCTTTCAAGCCATTCAGAAGGTGAGCCTTGAACAGTAGGAAAATCAGACCGACGGCTAAACCAATGAACTTTTGCATACCCGGAACAAGAATTGTTGGTGTAGCCCGACCAGTCCAATTGTAAGAACCAAGATGTCTCGTTTCAGATATTTCAAGGCTTTCGGCACGCAGGTCATCGGGCGGAATAGATATAGACTGCAAAGGCTTATCTTTAAGCCCCTGCATATACACTGTATTATCAGGCTCGGCGCTATCTTGCCCTCGAGGAGCGTATCGCTGCCGGGCGCCTGGCCGGTAGTTATACGATCCTCTGGAGCCAGGCGAGTTGCTGTAGGGGCGAGACATAAGGAAGAGGCACCAAACTCGATTCCTTAAATATTCAGAATCCACCGCACGTGTCCAAATAGAAGCACTGGTGAGACATGCGCAGGCTGCGGCTGGGGTGCGGCAAGTGAGGTTGGCCGGCCTATGGGGAAGAAGCCATCAAGGTACAATGACCGCAGCAGCACAACAGCTTCTTGTAAACGTGATCCGATGTAAAGACACTTAGAATCATCAGAGGTTAGCATCGCCTTGTCCAGAAGAGTACCAAATCCGTAGGCACGTGTCCGAATAGAAGCACCAGTGAGACAATCGCTCTCGCAAGTAGTCTGGGTGAGCCAAGATCGACCGACGATCCGATACGGGGGTAAAAGAATGAGGAGAATAGCATGTGATGGCCGCGGATGTGTATCATGTCATGCATAGCCACCGCTGGTTTTATCATAAATCTTATCTTTGCTTATACCCGAGTTAAATCTACAATTCCTTCCCGATGAGTATGTGGGTTCTAATACTGCAAACCATACCTAACATCATCCCAACAAGACGCCGATTCTCTGAATGGTCGCTTGCTCTTTGCGATACCCAAAAAAGGTGCGAAGATGCCGGAATACGACAACTGATCAACTCATCTCACCCACATGGCGCAGGAAGACTCCACGAGAAATGCATGAACTTATTAGCAGGTGTGTTTCTGCCATAATTACCAGAATTTCTGATTAATTCTTGAACAGGAGCTGATATCCAGTTCAGGCGACAAGACCGGCTAGATGTTTGTCTTGCGCTGAATCATAACATTGCGCTGTAGGACATACAACTCAGGCTATCGATAGTACACTAATTACCAGAAAGTGTCTTCCTGCCAGCAGCTGATATTGCCTCGTTTGTGGGCAAAGGTAATGTCGATCTAGGAATAACAGGCCATGATGTGGTGTTGGAGTCGGAGATGCAGGACCTCGTGGTCGAGGAGCTTCGACTTGGCTTTGGAAAATGTTCTTTACAAGTGCAAGTCCCAGAGAAAAGTTCCATCAAGACCATTGATGACTTGGCCGGAAAGCGCGTAGTGACGAGTTTTGAAGTGCTCGCCGGTCAGTATTTCAAGGAGGTAGACACTCGTCTACAGTTACCAGAAGATCAAAAGACTAAGATAGAGTATGTTGGAGGCAGTGTAGAGGCGGCGTGCTCTCTCGGACTTGCGGACGGTATCGGTGAGTCTAATCATTCTTCCCCAGCATTAACTCATCCGGTTCGCTTCCTGCCAGTGGATCTCGTCGGTGAGTGCCCAAATCAGTGTTCTCTTCACATATTGATTGGTGTTGCAGAGTCTGGGGACACAATGCGTGCAGCTGGCTTGCACGCTATAGCGACGGTTTTAAAGACGGAGGCCATCTTAATCAAATCCGCTGCACCTAAACATCCCCATTTACAACCTTTGATTGACGTCGTCACCAGACGTATAGCAGGTGTAATAGCCGCCAGCAAATATGTTGTCTGTCAGTTTAACGTACCCCGGAATAAGCTAGCAGCGGCGACGGCCATCGCACCGGGCAGAAGAGCGCCGACAGTGAGCCCGATTGAAGCAGAGGATTGGGTGGCCGTTAGTGTCATGATTGAAAAGTCTAGAACTGCGGAAATTATGGATAAGCTTATGGCAGTTGGAGCAGAGGATATTCTCATATTCAACTTAGATAACTGTAGAGTTTAAAGGGATTCATAGCCTACGGCGATCAAATAGATGGCTGATGCATACGGGTGGTACCGTGTGACGATTAGGGATCAAGAAAGCTGATTAGATAGAAAGAAGAAAAAAAAGTGTTCAAAAAGTGTGATGAGAGTGGGATTCGAACCCACGCCCTTTCGGACCAGATATCCAAGGACGTCTGAACGTCCTGGTCCTTAGTCTGGCGCCTTAGACCGCTCGGCCATCTCACCGGTATTCCACTAGTATGCGTCAATGGCCATATCATGGTGCAAGACACATACCCGAAACTGCACTTGCGATCGGAAGTAGGTTAACCTTATCAAGATAAAGGGGATTAGGTATAGAAATACACAACTTGTTCACCTCGGCATACGAAGTAAGCGGCTCGCGACCGCCGGTAGCAGCCGATAGCGTGGCACTGACACAAGGTTGAATGAGAGTTCAAACGATCAAGCTTCAAGTTTCAAGCATCCCTTTCACACTGCTACGCTCAGCGTACGTAGTGTACCGCTGAGTATAAAGGTAATCAGTCCCGTTCATCTGCCCAATAATATTCGTCAACCTTCAATCAGATTCCGATTTTATCGTCCGTGACGCGCATATGAGCCAAGGCGATATCTACACATCTGCTACGTTTCAGCCGCTGCTGAAGAAGCTGGTTCAAACCCCCGAATATTTCACACCGGATGATTTGAAATCCTCGCTGAATCACCTTTTTACTCCGGATGTGCTGCAACCAACTCAGGTTGGCGCCTTTTTGACTGCGCTGCACATACATCGGCTAGAAAGGCGACCAGAGTTTCTGGCGGCCGCTGCTTCCTTGTTCAGAGACAAGGCACTCAAGGTTACTGTGCAAGATATGGAAACAGACTTTGTCGTGGATATTGTGGGTACAGGAGGGGATGGCTATAACCTTTTCAATGTGAGCACGACTGCGGCTGTCGTTGCCGCAGGTGCAGGCGCCAGAGTAATAAAAGTATGATCCTAATACACTTCTTTCTACTAAGTTCACGGTTAACTGTTGTTCACTAGCATGGAAGTCGCGCTTCCACCTCATCCTCTGGCTCTGCAGATCTCCTGGAATCGCTTGGCTGTTCCTTTTCCGCACCTACCACAGGAAGCACAACACTCAGTACCCAACGTTTCTTTTACTTTTATCCTGGCGCCACACTTTCATCCCACTTTAGCAGGCGATCGCACCCTACCGGAAGGCATTGCCATTCCGCACCATGTTCAATGTTCTGGGTCCATTGATTAACCCTGCTCGTCCTCGAGGCATGGTTCTAGGCGTTGCAGAACCTGAACTTGGGTATACGTTTGCGCAATCCCTGGCAGAGGGCGGTGTCGACCGTGCGTTCGTAGTATGTGGATGCGAAAAATTGGATGAGATTAGCTGCGCTGGGCCGACGTGGTTATGGGAGCTACGTGACGGCCAGATCAACGAAAGGACCATAAGTCCGGAAGATTTCGGCCTCCCGGCACACCCTCTTAGTTCCGTTGCGGGGGGAACCCCGAAAGAAAATGCAGCATCTTTCGAGACATTGCTCTCGTCAGGGAGTGATCTCCCTAAAGATATGATACCGCTTTTAGATTTCGTTTTGCTCAATGCTTCGGCGTTGCTCGTAGTTGCCGGAGTTGCAGGTGATTTAGTTGAAGGTGCAAAGTTGGCGCGCGAAAGTGTCGTTTCAGGTAGAGCCTGGGCTGCGTTTAAGCGATTTCGTGATGCTGGCAGGGAACCGGCAGAGAAGAACTGAATCGCTCGTAATTAGTTTTAGGTGCGGTGACTATTTAAAGTTGATATTGCTCGCGATGTTTGTATGGGTATAAAGTGCCGTAGTTACTCGAGCGTAGTGGCCCTGTTCCAACCAAGGATAGGGGACCAACATCTCCACATTCTATCGACCACAAGTATTTTGTCTCTACGTCCCAAATCAGGGTCCTCCAGGTCGGTCACATCCTCAAGGAAACCTTCTCGCACGCGCGAACCCACGGGAAGATGCACCTCGGCATACATTCGCAGGCGTGCTACGGCGAGAAGTAATAGACCTGCTGTTAGAGGTGCAATGTTTGTGGAAGAATCAACTGTCGTATCAATTTTCTGGCGAGACGATCTCTTGGAACTCGGTTGCGAAACCAGAAGCCGTTCAGTTCGCCTAAGTTTGTGCCTTCAGATGGTGCACACGCAGAACATTGCTCATACCGACCTTAAAATGTTCCAAACACCGGCCCGTTTGGTTTTGCCGCCATATTTTCCACGTCCTCGCCCGCCTAAGTATAAGGAGACCAAAGATCCTCCCGCGAGATATACAATGGCAAGTGCAGGCGCAACGCCGACAAAAGCGAAAGTCAATTCTTGCGACTTCAAGAGCTTATCAACTCCTGTCAGAGTCTGGTCGATATCAACCTACACATAGGGGAGTGGCTTCAGCAAAGTGGCATTATCCATATGGCTTGTATGACTACCTTCGCTTTCTGGACCTGGATAAAGATGGAACGGAGTAATCTGCCTAGTAAGGCCGACTTCACAGGATGCTTGATTTCTTCCTCGTATAACTCCATGATAGGTGTCAAATCTCCAATTCTGATCTTTTGTGATAACTCTTTCAACTGATCGGGCCCATAGCGCAATTCATCCTGTGCCAGCGAGAGCACCATACGCTCCAGGGACTGTTGGATAGGACGAGGGCATTGATGAGTTAAGAGGATGAAAGTTTGTGAGAGGCTTGCCTACATCAAGATCAGCAGCAACGGCTTCTGGTCGAACAATGACGCCATCTTCGCCACCAGCCCTGACAGTACGTAGGACATCCTTTAATGGTTCAACTAACCACCCTCGAATGAAACCGGCTACAGTTTCATGAGCATCCTTAACAACTTGGGCGATATTTGCGCGAGACGTGTACAAGTAACGTAGCGCATAGATGCAAAGGGGAGGCAGCAGAAGCAGTTTTGGCCACATCCGGACCAATGTTGAGGGGCGCCTAAGGTTAAGCTTCGTTAACTGCTGTTCGTGCCGATTTCTGCTAGAAAGTATAAAGGTCGAAAGACGAGCAATGTCGGGGAGGGCTGATGTTCCAATTGCTGCATCTCGGGGTTTTCTCAAAGCTATGTCATTCCCTGATATTGTGCGCTCCAACAAATCTGTGAGTGTCTGAAAGTCATTCGGTTGAGAAGTAACGTTGGCGATAAGCGGCCCACGAAGGAAAGCCAAGCGACCCAAAATTTCTGCATGTTGATCTCGAATTCTTTCCAGCTCTTTGCACTTGTATTCACATTCTCGTCTTGCTAACTCCATAGGAAGCATTATTGACGATGTAACCGAGTACACATATTTGGATATTATCATAGCGATAGTATTCGCAATACCATGTGGTTTCTGGATATGAAACCGAGAGAAAAGGACAGTAGATGCAGTAATAGAGAGCGGCTGGCGATGTAAGTGAGGGAATAGAGTCGTCGCGAGTACACCTGGCTGAAAAGCTTTGGATGCGGGGAAAAGTTGACGGAGTGACGTCGGCGAGAAAGCCGAGAGCTGAATAGGCAGACGCTTGGCACGTAAAGCATGTAACACCATCTTCACTAAATTTGAAAGTCGTAGGGGTAAAGCTGTGGGGCAGACACATTACTATTAACCATCGGATACAAGAGAAACTTACTTTGTAGAAGGTACAATAGCGTATTGGGGCGCGAACGGCCAAGATCTTTCCACCAGTCGGCCTCAGCTTCCGCTTGCATTGCTTGGTTGAGATATGTGTCCAATGCATGAGCATAAAGATTGACGAGGTGTCTGAAAGTAACCGCGTTCTTCAACGCTTCTTCCTCGTCGTCCCGAACATCACCGTGACTATCCTCCTCAATCCAAGTCAGGGTGTTGATACAGTTCTCTAGTTCAGTTCGCGCTGGAGCCGCATCAATAGAGACCAGCAAAGCGCGTAACTTCTGTTTCCTTTCGATGGCTCTCGGTGACCCGGTCCCGAAATCTGACGGAATAATGGGTGCTATGTGCCCGGAACAGGCGAGGGGGCTCGTGAATGTATTGATCAAGGTAGCAGACATGAAGTTGGTTCCGAATGCAGTAAACAGCTAAATACGTCACTAATTTCCCAAAGTCGCCTTTTTTCCGACAAATAGATCAAACCACCTCAACACTTCATAATGCCACTTCAAACTACAGCTTCCCGTCATTTGGGAACTTTGGACATTCATCAACATACTCACCTGTTTCCGTGATCTAATACCCAGTGGTTTTCGTCCGGGAATATTACTAATCTGCTCGGAACACCCAATCTACAGCAGTTAGAATATAATCTGCTGGACACTTGTCCTGCTTACTCCTGTAACGCATGGAAAGCTCCAATGCCCTCCGTCTCAGGTAGGCGGTAATCTTTACTTCCATGTATGAGTAGTTGAGGTGTCGACCACTTCTCGACGTAGTTGGAAGGGTTGTATTTTGACGAAAGCTCTTTACTCTTCTTATCCCAAGGTCTACAGGGCATCAGCACATCCTCAGACTGTTTCTTATAGTACAAACCTGCCACCCCATTCGTGGTTAAACTGGTAGAAATAAATTAGCGTTCGCCGCATTGGTCATGCATATACGCACGAAGAACAGCTCGTCCGTAGAAAAGCCATTATAAGTGGAGTCAAACACCTGTTGCAATACAATGGTTAATTGAACAGCATACATAACGCTTAATGACGTACTCCATCATGACAAACGAGAGCCTATCGTATGGTCAGAGCACAGAAAATGATGATAGTGCAGCTACTAACCTTGAAATTGAAGCCGTATTCAGGATGACCTTGTATCCAACTAATGGCTGAATTAACTTATGCACTTTTACGAAGCTTGGAGAACTTCACTTGATCGCGTAGCCGCCCCAGCTCGCCCCGGCAGCTACAGCCCGATCGGGATCCACCTGAGGGTACTGGCGCAGGACATATTCCCATCCCTTTATCAAGTCGATAAATGGCTTGCCACCCCAGTCTTCGGCAATAGCGTCCGTGAATTCTATCACAAATTATATTTCTGCTAAGAGAGATCGTGCTCAAAAAACACACCTTGGCCAAATGTAGTACTTCCTGTAGGGTTAATAGCCACCACGCAATAGCCTTGTTGGGCAAAGACTAAAAGGACATCATAAATCCGTGATACATGTTGAGCAAGACAAACAGTTTTAACCATTGGGATTCCATCTTGTTGACCATTGGTCCTCCCAAGCACCCTGTG